CATGTGTGAACTTTTGTTCTTAGTTTTTACAAACATTAATACTTTAGCCACTATGGCCGTGCTTTGCATCGGGAGGAGAGCGCGGGAGAGAACTATTTAGTCCAAACCTATGAAATAGTTGCGCATCCGTCATAGTTTTTAGAAACAAAATTCAATCCCATCTTTTTTGATAAAAATGTAATTTTTGGATTCAGGTAAGTGTAAATGAAGTTAAGTATTGTTAAAATGGCATGTTTATTTTCACTATCCAAAGTCAAGAATAAAAGAAAAGTTGAATAGTAGCCACCTCTGGGCAAAAACCCTTCGAATTTGTGGTAGTAGTTAAAATTCATGATTAAAGAACGATATAACAAAGAAATAGTGTAAAGGTTACCTATCTTTTGAATATAATTACTCTGTACAATTATCATCCTATCGTTAAAAAATCTCGATATTTTTGGATCTTATTCAAAGATTTGGTAAGAATTCAAGATAATTGTAAACAAAAATATACAATGGAAACAAACCACCGAGCCATGCCTCGGTCCCCAGGCACTTATTATTATCATTATTAACAGTATGAGATGGAGACGCCACCTACCGTAGGTTAATACAGCAACGTCTCTAGAATCTACTTATTGCACAAATCAATGACACAATCTTGGGATAAATACACCCACCACATGGCATTACAGAATTTTATATTAAATTTGTGAAATAAGCTAGGTGGGATTCTAAAATAAAGCGAATTCAATGGTTCGATAAGTTTATATTGAAATGTGGACGCGAACGGAAACATTGCTTTTTTACAATGGAGACACATCAATATTTAGTTCTTCCAATCTCACCTAAGAACTTTGATAGCACAAGAGGCATGGTCCCAGGTCAATATCAAGGCAAGAATAGAAAGTGAGTTATTGGTGCGGTAAATATATTTTTTATAAAAATTAAACCTAATCGGTTCAGTACAGACGAACAGACAGACAGACACAGATAGTTACCATCTCGTCTTTATAATACTAAAAACAGCTGATTGTACGACCACTGTTGTTTTCTCGCCCTTTACGATTATGTATTTTAAGATGAAAATCCAGCCAACATAAAAGTAAAACTAGTAAAGCAAAGTAAAATACCCCCGCCACAGCAAACCTGCAGATTAAGCGAATTTCCATTTACCTGGCTGCATTTCTACTAAGATATTCCCTAAACATTGTCAGATTTATTTCCTATTTTAATAACATTAATTTTATTGAGTACTTAGGTTTGCTGCTACAGGGAAGGTATTGAGGTGTGTTTTTTATTGCAATGTTGATAGCTTAGTATGAAATAAACAAAATTTCCAAATTTGGTTAAAATATATCCATAAACAAGCAAACAATGTTCCCATTGTCTGATTATGCTGGTTCGCGAATTCGTTTGAATAAACGTACGTTTACACGTTTGTAGCAAATTTAATCAAAATCGTATTATTTTTGTTAAAGTTATCGCGTTAAGGGACACTTATACATATATGAATTTGAACGGATGGTGTTTTTGGCCTCTGGGGATCTCAAAACGAAAAAGTAAATTGGTCCCGGGTACGGGAAATTCGATAGTCAAATCATCAAATAAAATCGACAAATCTATAATTCAATTATATCCACACAATTGAGTTGTAATACTTCTAACACCAGATTAGCCATACGTTAGACGTTGTCGGAGAAGTTTTGAAGTGAAGACCGCCAAGTTGAAGGTGAGGAGCAAGTACCAAGGAGTGGAAGGAAGTTAACCAAGACGATCCTGCTTACTTAGTTAACAAGTCGGTCGCGAAGCTGCTCCGCTAAGTAGTGAGTTAATCGATAAGCCGCCTGTAAATAACACTCTTTGCCCCCTCCCCCCCACGCTGCAGCCCCTAAGCGTATTAAATTTGCAGGAACACTTAAGAGGCAGAACTTAGAGGTAAGATGATGTACAGTTTCGACAAAAGTTCATTGTTTCGCCTCGCAACTTGGCTTTATTCGCCTCAGCTCCTAATTCATTACCGTGACGTCGACGTGAGATTGTTCAAAACTTGGAGTCTAGAGGAGAGATCAACTTTGGATTGGAGTGATTCTTACAAATCAGTTAAAGATTTTAAGTCAGCCGAAAAAAACTACTCAACTGCTGACGTGTGTTATTTGAAACTAATTATTTTAAAAAAATCTCTAACACATAAGAAAACTATTTGTAACGCCCAAATTTCTTCGTACATTTATTGTTATACATACTAATATGAAGGATACCTCTTCGACGAATAAACACATACCTATTTGAACAATTATTGATAGGTAATAAGGATGTTACCTGTCAAATGATTTTCAAAAAAATTTACTGCTTTAAAAATATACGCCAAGAGATTGTCATTATAAGGATACCAAAGATTGGACATAAAAATACTTTAAACCTATTACTCCCTCGTACGTATTCATTATAATTTTTAAACGGTTTCATTTTAAGCTTAACAGGAGCTATTTCAAGCACGCGATTTTGTTTTGAATTGAAATAAAGTGTATATGTAATAGACCAACACCCAACACGAATATGTTTCCTGACTTATTTCAACAAAAAATTATAGTTAAACTATCAAGTATATCGACGAAAGCCCAACGTTAAGTCACTGTAAAACAAATTCCTTTAACAGTTTTAACTGAAAAGCGATGCCAGTTGAGAAACTCTCTTTCATGTTAAACGGAATGAGCAATGATCGTGTGGTTGGGCCGCTGAAGGTAAGGTACTTGTTATTGGTTGAATGGGTTGTGGGTTTGGTTGTGGAGGGGGGGTGGGGGGGGAGTTTGCAAATGTTTATTTAGATGTAGAGAGCTGTAAACGGCGACACTTGGATTGAGTGGCACTTGACTGGAGAGCAGGGAAAGCACTTTGGCGCCCCAAGCGGCCCAACACTTAAGTTCAAGTGCCGTGTTCAGGCATCCATTTCAATAGAACGTCGAACCTCTCTTATGCATATTCCCACCTGGGCCAAGTTTCCCCAACCCTTCCACAAGTCGCTTTGAGTGTTTCTGAAACGGCGATAAAGTTAACTTTTGGTCTTTCATCCTCATCAATAACAGTGGCAATCTCACAAGAAATAGGATGTAAAAACAGTTTTTATCTATTTTTTACAAATATTTTTCAAATATAATATAGCTATTCAAGTTAACTAAATGTTTCCCCCAGCTCGTAAAAATTGTTATAATTTATAATCAAGGCTTAGCAAAGTGAGCATTTAAGTTCCTAATCGCAAAAACCTTTTAAGCATTTACCTCAAGTGTGATAAACAAAAGTTATGAGCGGAGGGTATTAACATTAACGATTATTGTAAGTGGGTTGCACTTAGAGAGCGCTGAGCTTAAAAAGCGCTGTACTTGGATCCCGCTGTACAGGCTATATACTGCACGCTGTATTATCATTTTGTGTTTTAGAGCTTATTCACTCGCTTAGGAAAAAAATATTAATCCTATAAAGCTGTAAATAAAAAAACAGATTTTTATTTCGATGTTCATATTTTGTGTTCACCCAATGTATTTTGCGAAATGTATTGGGTCATTTAAAATTTTAACTGAGTTAGTTAAATATTACCGTTATTAATGACCACTTGGAAGAACAGTATAGTAGAATACTTGTCCTCGCATGAATAACGTATAGGCCTACAAACAAAAGGTTATTTACCTTATTTGTACTGTGCTAACTTGATATAACGTATATGCCTACTGAAACAAACAGACAAGACCATGAGAAACTACATGAAACAGATTAATCCTTAAAGTTAAATTTTCCATGGAACTTCATCGTTATATTGGACGCCTGAGCTCTTTACAGCCTGTCGTTGCTTTTGATGATTACAATTTGAAAGAAACTATAGGCTAATTGTTTTTTTATTTTATTTTTGTCACACCTTTCCAATACCAAAGTCTCCTACCTCTCCAATAACAACCTCGCTATATCGATGGTATCAACAGAATAACCGATTGTTCAATTTTCTTGTCAGCTGTCCATCTTTCTTAACGACACTGTCTGCTGTTTGTTATCATTATTTCCTTCACATTCAGGTACTGTAATTGGCAAGGAAGGTCCAATGGCAATGTCACATTACAGTCTAGTGATGTAACTCATTTCACATGGAGTTATCTCCAGGTGGTAATTTACCATCACATTGTCCTGACAATACACCTTGACATGACATTGACAAGTTCCTGTAACATCCATCCCGGTACAGGAATGAATAACAAAATGCCAGCTGAGGACATAATATTGAGTAGAAATGTTCAGTTTTGATTTACTGCTGATTACTAAATAATCAATTGGTTACTGTGGCTGCGACAATTACGAAACAGAAATGGAAAACCGAAGGTCCCAGCGATCGCAGTTTGTTCGTTTTAAACATAATCAAACGATTTATTATTATTACGAAATTTAAAATGTACTGTGGACTTGTACACATCACATTGCCATCAAAATGTAACTTCGATTGTTAAGTACTGTATATCGCTGGCACAAAAAAAAACAGCAGAACCTTGATAACAAGACTCTCATGGGGATCATTAATTAAAACTTGTTATCAACGTTGACTTCTTATCAAGGTTTTCAGAACCATATGATTGGAAGTAAAATAAATTGTAGGAGAGTTGAAAAATACACTATTGTTATCAAGCTTCTTTGTTATCGAGGTCCCACTGTAAATGAGTTCAATTTTGTTATGTCCACACCAAATGACTGAAGGATATTTTCACGACATTTGGTAACTGCACAAACTGTGGTGTAGTTATATCAATCAATCCAATGGATACGTTGTCCCACTACACGTGAATCCATCAACATATCGACTTGCAAACTCCCCTGAGAAAAAAAAATATCAGAACGTCTGTAATTTATTCTCAGGAACGAAAAAGGGCTCGTTGAATCATTTGTAGCTCTGTATACTTTTAGTTAAGCACGTTCCCTATGAGGCTTTACCCACTTCTAAATGTATGTATGTTCTCGTGTAACCTTATGTTTGTATGTTTCAGACTGGGGCTGATGTCCCATTTCAACGCCCTGGCCGCCGCCGCCAGTGGTCGCAGTCCCTTCATCGCTGTCTACCCTCACCCACCCCCGGGCACTCCCTCGGACAAGCCGTGGTACGCTGCCTGGGCCAGACTGCATCAGCCACCTCCCACCACCAGCCCTACAGGTGAGCTTTGCAAACAAACAAACTTGTTACAGCTGTAGTACTGGTCCTCCTACATTGAGTTATCTCAGAGGTTCAAGTTTGTTATCGCATAACTCCTTAGAATGCTCCCCAAAACTGTGAGTATATGTTTTCAGGGTAAAAATTTTATTATGCTACCTCGGAACAGATATGAACAATGTAGTGAGCGAACTATGGCTTGCTGCTTATGCTTTGCTGGGTTACTAGAGAATAATAGTACTCCAAAAGACTTTTTTTCGATCTGAAAGCTCACTAATAAGAATTGCTTGACGATTTTTGATTTGAAATTACCCAAACGAAGCTCTTTGATCAACGAGCTTTCAAGAAGTATATTGATGGCGTCATGTCAACAGAACCGATGTTGGTTGTAGTTGTAGATTATATTGGAGGTGTCAGTTCTTAGTTTAGCAAAGTTGTGTTGTATAGTTGAGACTGAGAGCCGATTAAGGAGGTGTCGACGCCAGAACTGGGTCGGCCACTAGGGCCTCACTTGTGGGGCGTCGCAGTTTGAATGTAACGCCCCGGTGCTCGTGTTCGGGGCTTCTCCGACTCTCTATAACAACTGTTTACTTAACACAATCCACGGCCCCCAGCATCAGTCATCACTGATAGAGTTGAGTTCCGTTAAAACCATGAAACGTTAGAGTTTCATCTCTGGTACAAAAAAATAAAAATACAATTATTGTATTTCTGTCTTGCTCATATATTTAGGAAAAAGTATTTGTACCACATCCAAATACCTACAAAACCCCGACTTTATAGAACACTGCATGTGGAATGGCGATTCAATGTCTTTATGCTTTGACAATTTACGCCAAACTCTAATTGAATCAGTGGCTACATTAGATTTTGTAACATACACAGTCTTTATTCAACGAATGGGCCATGCAGTGATTAAAAAACATTCTACAGGGACAAACACCCTGAACCACTCAAGTTTGTATTTTGTTTAACTTTTATGTAACTTATTCTTAAAAATTCCTTGAGTATCTAAAAAACGTTTGGATAAGATATGACGATGATTAGTATATTATGCAAACAAGAGAAGAGTAATATGGTACAGCAAGGTAGCTGTCTGAACATAGGCATTCATTGCCTAAGAAGGATAAGTAGTGGAGAACTACCGGTTTTACCTCACTTTAGGCGTTTTTTCCCATAAGAATAACATGGGGATCATTTTTTGGCCACCAATTCCAAAAATCCTGATCTTTGCCTGCAAATCCCTATATAATTGTCAAACCTTATTTCTTAGTTATTCCTCATAAATATATTCGATATTAAGCAAAAATAAAAAAAAAACTAATTATTTCATTTATTGACCCATGCATGTGTATATGTATAGTAGTGTAAAAACGCTATTCACTGGATCAGGACGAGCAACCCCCAATTGTACCATAGCACCCTATCATGTGTACAGTTTATTGTGTATCTGTTTTGGTTTAAATATATATATTTCTATGTAATAACACTATTCAATGAACCAGGAGCATGTGCACCCCTCCAACTGTCCCATAGTATAGTAGTGTAAAAACGCTATTCACTGCAGCAGGAGCAGTAGTAGTGTAAAAACGCTATTCACTGCAGCAGGATCAGGTGCAACCCCCAATTGTACCATAGAACCCCACCATGTGTACACGATATTTTACTCGATTGTTTTGGTTTTAATATATATTCGATGGAGCAGGAGCAACACCGTGTTGAATTTCAATAATCAGATTGTTGCTGCCGTTTTTTTTTTGAGGTGCGGGGTTTTTGGGCCAACTCCCCCCCCCTCACCCCCTCACCACTCCCCTCTGCCCCATGCACAATTGCTAGTACATCTACCATTCCCCTTTCCAGTTGATATATTATATTTCTATTTCAAAATCATGTATGTGCGTGGTTTGCACGCGAACTCGGCTCATGGCGTGGGCATGCTCCCTTGGACATCCTTAGTGGAAATCCATGAGTTCTGGCTACTTGGGAACCCAAGCCATTTGACATACAATAAATCACCCTTCCTCCTAATTACCTTTTCTACTAAATACATGTCTTTATACTTGGTCTTTAACAACTCCTCTGTATAGAATCCTCCTCTGATTATATTACCTTTTTCATCTTTCAAGATATAAGTCACAGGCTTTGTATTCTTTACTTCTGCTATTGTAAATAACTCCCCTGTCCAATTTGGAGTATAACCTTTACTAAAAACATGTTTATACTTGGAAATCCTTACGCTATCACCTACCTTATATCTTGGCTTTTTAACTTGCACTACTTTAGAAGTCCTTTCATGCAACCTCTCATGCACATATTTACTATTCTTAATATTCACTTGGTTAGGCTTCATTCCTATAGATCTATGCACCTTATTATTATATTTTCGAATTAACTTTGGAAGTAAATCCAACCATTTATAACTCCCCTGAGCACTAAATTCTCTATATAACCAATTCTTTAAAGTTCTCTGAAACCTCTCCACAATTGCAGCCTTAGTTGTAGAAAATGTGTGATAGTGATTAATATTTAATTTTTTCATTAGTTTGCTAAAATATTGATTAAAAAATTCTTTTCCATTGTCGGATTGAATGTTTTTAACCCCCTTTGGTAGAATGGTTTTAATGGCTTCTGTAACCACCAACCCTGTCTTATTCTTTAGTGGAGCAGCATAAGCTTTTTTAGAAAATGTATCTATTAAAGTTAAAATATATTTATTGCCAGAATTCTCTCTAGCATAGTTTTGCATATCAATTAAATCTATTTGTATGGTTTCGTTTATACCCAATACTTTAAAAGACCTTCTAATGAAATTCTTTCTTGCAGGCTTATGAAGTTCGTATGCAATTTCATTCATTTTTTATAACATCATCCTTTCCTGTAACTCTAAATACATCACCATTAGCCCCAATCAATAGATTATCTTCCATTCTTTTAAATACATAGTTTTCTGGTATATATCGTCTATTATCTATATACTTAAATCCACTCAAAGATGTGGGGTCAGCAACTAATAAATCAGGATTATATTCCATCAAATTAAAAATTTTTTCTCCATATACAAATTTTGATCCATCGTAATGCATAGCTTGTGACATTAGACAAATATCATCCGAATGTTCTCCCTCTGGTAGATTCCTTATAAATTGTTTTTTGGCATCCCAACATTTTTCTTTTTTATCAAAAGTTATAGTCTGTTCTTTTATAACACAGTCAGTTTCATCAATGGCAGGTTTAACACGTACTAACCTTTTATTATAAAAACTCCAATAGCCTGCTTCCATTTTTGGAACTTGTGAAACATTCACAGCATCTTTACTATCTGTACCTTCCATCAAATTGCTAAGTTTCTGTTTCTAAGCATTCCAAACACCATTCTCTGATTCTAAAAATTCATAATTATTATCATCTTGTATAAATTTACCATCTTCTTTTCGTATTAAAGTCTGTTGTAAAGTGGGCACATCATCTAAACTCTCACCCTTTTCTACATTAGTAATTTTCCGTTTCTTAGCATTCCAAACACCATTCTCTGATTCTAAAAATTCATAATTATTATTGTCTTGTACAAATGTACCACCATCTGTTCGTATTAAAGTCTGTTGTAAAGTGGGCACATCATCTAAACTTTCACCCTTTTTCACATTAGTAATTTTCTGTTTTTTAGCATTCCAATTTTTATTCTTAGATTCTAAAAACTCATATTTAGTTTTACCTTGTAAAAAGACATCACCTTTTCTAGTTAATGTCTGTCCCAAAGTTGATACATCATCTACAAACTCCCCATCTTTAACATTACCAATTTTACGGTTTAAACAATTCCAACTATCGTCTTGTAAATTTAAAGTAGGTTCACCACTAGCCCTGGGTTCTGCAGGCTTATTATATGGATTATATAAACGATAAAATATATCTATAAACATATTTTTATTTAATAAATAATTCCACTTTCTCTCAATTCCTCAATAATGAAATCTATTTCATTATCCACTCCTGAGTTACCAGCTTGGCGACTTAGCCAAAGAAGTCTTAACCTATCTACAAGCTCATTAGGATCATCCCAATAAATATAGTCTATTTTATTACCAGTCACTTGTCTCAAACCTTCACCAACACATTTAAATAGAGGTTTAATTATATTAAGATATTTAGTATGTCTATTACTTGAAATTGGTGCACCATCTTTGTAACTCTTTAAATGTCCATTTGTAGCTTCTAAAATCTCTTTATAATTTTGCAAATCAGCCTGAGTATAGTTCTCAGGTTCTTTTAACGTTAACAACTGCCACAAACCTTTTGTCCCCTTGTAGGTTTTATTTGCAACTGTAACATCATCATTGGCAATATCAACTTCCTTATTTCCAATAAAAAATTTATTTGCTTCTCGTCTAATACCATATGTAGTGTCTGTCATACTACTTTTACTGAGGTAATTTCCTAAATAGTCTGATGCTAAAAGACCAAAATCTAATTTCTGTGGAGTGGATGGTTGTAATGGTTGTAATGGTTGTAATCTTGGTATCATTGATATTCTAGATGGAGTCATTGGGAGTATCTCTATTCGAGGCCTCTCTGATGTGATTTTCTTTAATTCTTGTAATGGCTCTAGTAAAGTTTGGAATGTCTGGAACCTCTCTTCAGCCTCTAGAAACTTGCCACGTTTTAAAGCTCTATATTTCTCTCGTATTTGATTTGCAGAGTCAACCAATTCTTGTTGAATGTTTTTCATCTTTTATTTACATTTTATTTATCTCATTTGACAAAGGATTGTACTCAAACACTTTATCATGTATTATCAAACAATATGCAGATGTATTTGCTGGCACATTTTCTGCAGTTTCAATCTCTAATTTAATATCAACAATTCCTTCCTTCACTGTTTCGTTCTGTCTAGAACAGTCTATTACAATTAGTGGATATTTCTTCATAAACTCAGCCCTACTAATCATAGGATCTGGGATAGTATTGTAGTAAGTCTCTCTAAACCTCATAAACATCTCATAAGC